GGCTACTTTATCATGTAATTTATGTTCTTATAAGTAATGTTAATTCTATGGTATAAGTCTATGGCAGTGTTTTGTATTATTATTATATATTATTGCATTGTAATCTATGTTTATCAATAATTGTATTCTGTCATTTAAACTTTTTGATTAAAATTGTCTTGTTTTAAAATTATAGCTAAGAATCGATTTATTCAAATATTAAAATATGTTGTTTTTAATTTGTTTTTTGTTTTGTTTTTTTGTTTAATTGCAAAATTAGTTTTTTGAGTGTATTTTTCCGCAAAAAACCGTTGAGATCACAGCCTAGCATATAAACAGCGATTATAAGAGACAACAGATGTCTCGTCAGATCGAGTGTTGCGTTGACTCACAAAACATATGATAAAACAATTCACACAAACACTCACTCGTCATGTCTTCAACCGATGGATCCGATGATGAGTTCGAGAGCGCGGATGAAGACGTCGACTGTACTCATACACACGGATCAGATGCGCGGCTGAAAGACGACAATCTCGTGGACACCACTACTCCATGTGTTGAACATATCGTCCAAACGAGTGGTAAATTGTCTTATGATTTGACTTTCGTTACGATTTTATAATTATCTCATTATAACAGATGTGACACAAACTGTGGAACCGATTTCAAGCACTAAACCAAACCAATTAAGTGAAGAATTGGTTCTCAAGAAAGAGATCCAAACGATTAAATCAGAAAATATTGTCGAAACTGAAAGTGTCGTCAAATCTGATGAAACAGTTGTCGACAAAAGTGATGAAAATGTGGCGAAAGAACAGAAAATAATAATAAAAGGGCGAAAAATATTGAGAAAAGGGGACAGAAATAGAGAAACCCCTCCCGAAGAAGCCATTGTCGCCAACGATTGGGAGGAAGACATCCAACCAATAGAATTACCAGAACTTGAATCAATTGAAAGTGATATTGAATTAGAAAAACCAAAATCCGATGAAATAGTTGTCGATAAAAGTGATGGAAAAGAATTGAGTGAAAGAGATGTGAGAATTAAAGGACCAAAAATAGACACTAATAGAGAAGATAGTCTTCAAGAGACGACTCCCGAAGAAACAGATGTTAACAAAGAGAGCAAAGTGTTGACAATATCTGAGAAATTGTCTCAATTGGACATCAAATCGGTTGATGTGAAAGAGACTGAAGCGACGGAATCACTAAAAATTGAATCTAAAAGTGATATTAAATTAGAGGACAAATCAGAATCAGAAGAAACTCGTATTGAAAGCAGTGATGAAAAGGAGTCGAAAGACCAGAAGAATGTCATAAAAGGACGAAAACTGATGAGAAAAGCGGACAGAATTCGTGAGCAAACGACTCACGAAGA